CTAAAGCTTTTTATACTCAATTTAAATCTGGTCAAATTTTTTTTTTTAGTTTAGTTAAAATAATAATAATTTTATATTTTAAATATATATATTTTTACATGATGACATATGTATACTATATGCTTTTACTTTTTTTTTTTCAAAAAAGTATAAATATGACCAGAATATGATAAAAATTATTGGGGCATTTATCAGATCATTTAGAATGTACAGTTCAGATAGCTCAATACATATCATAAAATTTTTCTATAAAAATCTTTTTTATTTTAGTCAAAAAGGAAATGTGGCAAGTTATGTTCAAGGCTTAAAGACATTAAGATTACAGACACATGCCCAAACTAATTCCTAATAGGCAATAATAAGAGTTGGAGTGCCGAAAAAGATAGAAGAGGAGTTAATAATACTTAATTGTCAAATAAGAAAACAGTTTGAAGATACTTAATTGAAATACTATATGAAGCCTGATATTATATAGTAAAGAATTTTGCAGACCAATTTTAATCTGTTAAGAATTTTTAAAGCTGGTTTTCTTAAATACTATATGTATTGCTTAAAATTCTATTATTATCTACTACAGATTAAGCTATAGCTTTAGTAATAAAATAAGTTGTGCTTCAATAACTATGGTTTAATCTGAAGCTATGACTTTAAAAAGTTAATTTAGTTGCAGCTATGCTAAGCTATAGTTAAGTTAAAACTCCAAGCTATAGATTATTCTGTAGCTTATTACCTTTGGTTGGCTTGGCCCCATTATTCATCCAAAACTGGCTTCAAGTAAGCTGACTATCTTAAGCAACAAATCTATATAAAAAAAGCTTAATGAAAAGTAGTGTATATACATTTTATATTGGAATAATCTAGTCTAATATACTAGAGTTTAATTTTATTTGATGAATGCAAATTATATTAGTTGTGAATTATAGAGGCTGCCTAAAACTGTAGTTTTTAAGTTGATTATTGACAAAATTAGTAAATTAAAAATTATGTTCCATATATAAATTTCCACTCTGCTTAAAATAATCCCAAATTGAGCATTATTAAATAATATTGCACCAGAAGGCTATTGTAAGCAGTTGTATTTGTGCAGCTTAGTACTGGCTAGTAATTTCCCCCTGACATTAAAATGAGCGTGTATGTTGAAATTTTAGTTCTATATTTATAAAACTCATGTTCTTCAGAAAGAAGTGTTGGGTTACTAATTATTGTCTTTTACAGTAGGTATACAATTGATAATATAAGTCCTGATTGTGTTTCTTATAGATTTCATTCCTAAGTTAGTATTTAGTACTTGTAAAAGTTATTCAAATCGCACATACCACTTATCTGGAATTGGACTTATTATTGTTAATAGTTTTATAAGATTCATCTCTATGCTTAGCATCTTGATCTGTTGACTCTATGTTAACTCAAATGATTATTATTTACTTTAACTAAGACAAAAACTAGTAAAGCAATTAGTATAATGAAACATCTTATACTATGTATATATAGTACAATATAATATAGTAAATGCACTGCCCAATTAATTATAAGCATAGACGTACATATATAATTTCATTTCTGGTATAACTTAGATTATCTACCTTTAACTGAATTAGGCCAAAATGTATTTTGAATTGTATTAGAAATTTATTTTTATTAAATATAAGTAACTTCAAGCCTAATTTATATCTAGATAAAAATTATGATTTCTAAATACTAGTATTAAAATACATACTTAAGTTTTAATTTGCATACTACTTCAGAGCAGTATTAAATTAAATATTTGAATTATTTGATCAAAACAAATAATTCAAATCAATTAAATAATTCAAATCAAATATTTGATAATCAAATTCAAATCAAATAATTAATGATTTGAATTTAATCAAATCAAATTTGACTTTGATTTGAATTTGATTTGAGGTCAAATATTTAATCAAATCAAATTGCAGAACTCTAGTTGATAATATTAAATAGCACCAAGCCTGAAAGTGTAAAATATAAAAAGGTTTGTAAGTAATTTGATGAACCTGAAGACTATCAAAATTTAAAATAAAGAAGTAAAAATTGTATGCTTGAAAATGTGAGATTTGAAATTTGTTATAATTTAATATGTATTGTAAAAAGCTTTGAATTAGATAAAATAAAGGTTTATAAGATAAGCAGAGTACCCAGTGAAGTAAGTTACTTTCTTATTAGTATATATAGCATTTGTTAGAGTAAGAAAGATTTCTTCTATAAAGAATATTAGGTGTTGTTAGATTATCTAAAAATAATTTTACTCTAAAAGATTTGTATATAGAGAATTGAAAGCTATATGAAAAGTTTGATGTTTTTTGATTATTGTTAAGATAGAGCCAGGTTGCTTGTCAATGAACTAAAAAGATGATTGAGATACATTTTTGGAACCAATTTTGAGATAACTAGTTAGCAAAAATATAAGTATAGCATATTGTTATAATACTGCAATAGATAAGAAGTTCAATTAGAAGATTGCTAGAGTTAAAAGTAAATCATAAGTTACATATATCAAAAGAATTAAATAAGCACAAACTTTCAAAAACCTGTAAAAATGCAATTTTTTATATTTTGAAATTTTGCACAAAACTGTATTTAATTTTTATAGCTATAGCTGGTAAGTCTGAAGTTTTGCACAGATTTTCATTTAAATTATTATTTAATTTTTTTGCAAATCTGTGCAATACTAAAAAATATTTTCTGATAATAAAAAATTCTATTACAAAACTTATTTTTATTTTAACAACTATAATATATAGCTAAAATCAAAATAGTTTTATACTTAAGGTAGAGTTATTTTTTATTGAAAATGGTATAATTTATCTGTAATTGAATTAGTTTGTATTAGAATATCAGAATTATCATGATTTCTACTGTAAAAAATTCTATAACAAAGCTTGTTTACTATTTTAAAAACTTTATTATATAGTTAAAATTTAGTTTGTCTTAACATTATGGTTTCTATGTAATTAAAGTCAAGCTAGCTTTTATTATAAATTCTATATAAGTGCAGTTTGTATTAAAATTATTAATTTTATTATAAGTTTATAAAATAAAATTTTGATAAAGAGCTTATTTACTGTTTTGATTATCATGTTATATATGGTTAAGTTAGTTTATATTAGAATTATTTTATTTCTGTATAATTAAGGATTAATAGTTGTATTTAAACTGGTTGGTTTCTATTATACCATATTTACTTTAAATAACTCACAGGGTGTAATTTCGAAATTTGGCCTAAATTAAGCTTAATTCGGGCCAAATTTTGAAATTACATCCCTGCGTGTTATTTTGAGAAATATGGTAATAATTTTTTTTTTACAGAACTTACTTGCTATTCTAGTCACCAAGTGCATAGTCAGTTAGCTTTCATCAGAATTATTATCATAAAAATTCTATTATTAAATTTACAATTCCAGTAACTACAGTATGTGATTAAGTTAGTTTGTATTGGATTATAAGTTACCATAATAAATTCTGTCACAAATCTTACTCTCTAATGCTTATATAGTAATTAAGATTGTTTTAAAATTGTAATTTCTACTAAAAATATTTTTACAGAACTTGCTCAATAATCTGATAACCATTATTGTGATTAAAATTAAGTTAGTTTGTATCAGAAATTATTCAACCACAGTTCGAATATGTACATAATTTATGACAAGAACTATCTTGTTATTTCTTATTAATGAACTATTATAAATGAGAGGAGTAAATTATACTTCAAGCCTTTAATTTTATAATTTATTTTTACTAGATTTGGGTTTTTAAAATCTGATAGTACAGCTATATGTTAATTTGGCAGAAGTTTTTTTTTTAAAAAAAATCAGCAAAACTGGCAAAAATAAGGTTGGGTAGCGACTGATAAAATAAAATTTATCTATGATCATACGCACTAGTCCTGTTCAAGGTCACATAATGCACAGCTACCCTAGTTTTTTTAGGTTTAATTATTATTCAAACCAGAACATGTTAATGAACTTCGAACTGAACTCAGGCTGAACAAATATTTCAAGTTCATGTTCAGTTCGGGTTTATAAATTTTAAGTTCGGGTTCAGGTTCAAAGATCTACAAAATTTAAAGTTCGGTTTGGGTTCAGTCGAACCTGAACCCGAACCTAATCAGACCGAACCCGAACTTAAGGTCACTATTCCAGGGTATGGCATGTTGGATGAATAATATTGTTAAACTTTATTCAAAAGATCTTCTAGCAATAAATATATAATTTCACATTTTTTTTTTTTTAACATGTACTTGATTTTTTTATATATATTTTTTAATATGAAAATTTATTAGTTTACGCATAGTGTAGTGATTTAAGCCGAAAGGTTTTAGTCGGCTAATCAGTTGGCTAATGGCTGACAAATACCATACTTCCGGTAAATTTTGGTAAACTTTCCAAATTTTAGCTTGTCCTTGCTTGTATTTTATGTTCATTCATTTTCCTTTTCGAAATTTACCGGGAATCCTAATATATACTTAATTACATGATCTTTAACTGCATTAGCCAGCCGATCGTATTACATTGGCTGGCTTAGCTGCTTGGCCGTGACTGTCATAGCCGGCTACACGGATACTAATTTATTGATTTGCAAAATTCGTGTAACATGCCAATTAACAATTTATACGAAAGAAAATTAAACCCTTGCTTATGGTGGATTTTGAATTGGGTGAGGTTAGTTTATACCAAATTTTGCAAGTAATCTTTTTTTTTTGCTTGGAGCCAAAAGGTGGTTTTATATTCAAAATTTTAATATCGGGTTGTTTTTATATTGACCGTGTACATAAAAATACGTGTACAAATAGAAATACTCTTAATATTTTCATTGTATAAATTTTTGAGATAAATTATTTTCTAACATTGTATAAATTTTTGAGATGAATTATTTTCTAACATTGTATAAATTTTTGAGATGAATTATTTTCTAACAAGTAACTTTTTTTCCATTTAAATAAATTTTTTAAATTTTAATAAAATTATTATTTTACGATAATATTTTTATGCATTTGATGAAATTTCAGTATCGATTTCACCAATAACCTTCAAAAACACTTCCTCTAAACTATAAAAAAAAAGAACCAACATTAAATATTTTAACTATAAAATTTAAATTTAAATTTGAAATAATTACCTTGTTTGACTTAATCCCCAATTATCGATTCCATTTGCTTTTTTATCTCTTTCAACTTCTTTAAATATTTTAGAAATAAATCCAGGTCTTGCTTCAAATTCATATGAAGCATTTGTAGCAAATGAGTGTAATTTTTTTGCACTTAGTGGTAATAGCGTTTCTATATATCTGATAAAAAGAATAATAGAACAAAAAACGTTTATATAAGAATAAAATTTTGTAATAACGATAATAATAACAATAATAATTACTTACACAGTAGCTTTTTCCAAATTCTCTTCCTTACAATTAAAATTTAATCTGAAACCACGTCCATAAAGTTGTTTTAATTTCGATGGTGCACCAATACATCTTAAAGTTCCTCTTGACATAATTCCAATCTTATTACATAAAACTTCAGCTTCTTCCATACTATGAGTTGCCAATATTATAGTTCTATTATTTTTTGTAAGAGCTTTATTATGTGATTCTTTATTAGTACCGTTGTTTATAGGTGAAACATCTTTCTTTGTATTAGCAATAATTTTCCAAATTAATCTTCTAGATTCTGGGTCTAATACAGTGGTAGGCTCATCCAAAAATACAAGAGCTGGATCTCCTACTAATGCAATAGCTATAGAAAGACGTCTCCTTTCTCTGCTATCTAAAGTTTCAGCCAATTTAGATTTTAAAGTGAAAAGCTGAACTTCTTTTAATGAAGAAGTAACAGCATCACGTTCCTTAGAAGGAGGAATACCACGGATACGAGCATAGAATAAAAGATGTTCTTCAACTTTTTTTTAAATAATTTATGGATAAAAATTAAATTTTAATAATATAGAAAATCGTTTAAATATATTTAAAATACCTGTGAGGTTATTCCAAAGAATACTAGTTTGTGGACAAACACCAATATCTCGATGAATGTCATGTAATGAAGTGGAAATATTTAAACCGTTCAATATAGCATCACCTTTAGTTGGTTTATATAAGCCTGTTAAAACGTTTATAAGAGTTGTTTTACCTATTTAAACAAAAAATTTTAGATGACAGTTTGTAAATAAGATTCATCTTAAAAAAATTTTAATATTTAAATATTTTAAGAAATATAATTACCCGCTCCATTAGGTCCCAAAAGTCCAAAAATTGTACCATATTCAGCAGCAAAAGTAATATCTTTAACAGCAACTTTTCCATTATTATAAATTTTAGTCATAAATTTTACTATCAAAGGGTTATCACTATATTGATTTGATAAAACATTTATTCTTTCATTTTTAACCTCTTCATCACCATTTACATATTTACCAGCTTCTAAAGCTGTTGGAGTAATAAAACTACGAGGTTGTGCGAATAGTTGGGAAAAGATGAAGTTCCATGATTTGTTTACTCCGTATTCTGATGGTATCACCTACAATAATTATGGTAATTAAAAAAAATTTTTTTTATGATTAAAAAAAATAAATAATTTAAAGAAAGAAATAATAAAAGATAATTAATTACCAGATAAAAATAAATTGTTAAACACATCAATACAAAATATTCAATAGCTAAAGCAATAACAGCATTATAAACTTCATTTCCAGGTCTTAAATTACTCAATTTCATTGGTAAATAATCAACAAGAAAACTTAAATGATTAATATTTGACAAAGCTCTATAATAAGCGAATGGTGGCCAAACAAAATAAATCAAAGGGATATAATTACCCTCTATTGGAGGATTAACTAATTCAATTCCAAAAGAAAATAATACACTACATAATACTATTACAAAAGTAACTATTAAAGCATTTCGACTTTTTTGAAAAAATGTGGAAAATAAAAATGCCATTGCAATTTGAATATGTCCCCAAATAAAAAATAAAATTCCAATTATCCAAGGATCTGTTAAAGTGAAAAATGTCAATTTTAAATAATATCCAGGGACTATTAATAACGCAGAAGCTATTATATAAAGAATATAGAAATGAAAATAATGAGTGAAATAGTAAACAGTATAAGAAAGTCCATGTATTTTCATCATCATGGCAATTCTTTCTTCTTTTTCTTTAACTAAAACAATAACAAAAGTTGGTAATAAAAAAGAAACACCAAATGGATAAAGGATTCCTCCAACTAATGATGAATAAAGTTGTCTAACATCAGCTAATGAATAATAACGTTGTCTAATATTAATTACATCAAGATAAAGATGTGGCATTGAACGAAATCCGGTGGTAACCGAAGGTATTCCAGTACCATTATCAAGAACGGTTCTCAAAATAGCATTGCTCAATTGATTTTGTTGGGCTGTTTTCCTTAACCCGGGTTGAGGAAACGAAACAGAATTGTAAAGTTGGTCATTATAACCAAATTGTAAGGTATAATTCCATTGTTTTTGGGATTTATTACCAATACTATCGAATAAAATTATTCCCCATGGCATTTGCGTGATCAAATTACTTTTTAAATCTGATAAATTTGTAGAATTAGGATTAAGTGACCTTATCTGATTGAGAACATAATCTAATTGTTCTTTTAATACTATATCTAATTCTTTTTCAGTCGAATCGGAATTCCATTTTTGAAAATATGGAAGTGGAATATATTGTTTGGTAGCGTTTGTTGATTGAACTTGCGAAAAATTTAAATAATATTGTGTATCAATCATACTAAGTAATCCTAATAATTAATTAATAAGTTAGCTATGGATAGGAAGATTTTGAAAATTAATATGTAACGATTAAATAATTAATGAAATAATAATTTACCAGATCCATAATTAAAAGCATCTTTGGGAGAAAATTGGGATGGATCGGTGATGTTTGCTGAATTTAAAGGTCTATCACCACTAAATACACCGGGAGCATCTCGTACGTACGCCCACGGGAAAGTTTCTTTCACGAGAAGGTTTCTTGTCGAGGCTAAAGAATTAAAGTATCCAAATTGTGGTTCCGGTAAAAAAGTTCTAATTTAAATATACATCCAAGAGATATTATTATTAAAGTAAGAATAGAAATTACATAAGTCACTGTATATAAAAATACTCACGTATCTCGTTTTTGCAAATTAGAGTCCGAAATTTGTGGATCATTTTCATAAGGAGCCCTATAAGGATAATCTCTGCCGAACCAAGAGACACATTCATTTGTCACATTGTTCACAAAATCCAAATTATAATTTTTTATTATTTCATTTGGGCGAGCATTTGGTATTTGATCCGATGGTGTTCTTGGAATATTAGGATTGTTATCTTTTATTCGATATTTACTTCCATCTAATCTTGATGCGTTTAAATTGGAACATAACAAGTATTCTAGATGAATTTTAGTTAGCAGAATGCTAATATACATGTGTATATGTAAATTTTTTATAAATACCTGGAGGATCTGGAGTTATTACTTCAATAATAAATCCAACTAAAGTAGCAATGGATACCATTAACAATGGAAATATCGTTACCCAAAAAAAATTCACACATTTCTGTCTTTTTTGATATGAAAGTGTTTTTCTTGCCTACATTTGTAAAAAAGCGTAACATTATAGATATCATTTACTGTAGACAGTCAATTTTAAATTCAAGTAAATGGATCTCTTGCAGTATAGCTGAGAAAAAGTATTATTAATCAATTGATTTAGAATAGATATAACCTATATTGCAAGAGATCCAAGAAAAATTATTTAAATATTCACCAAAGCACGCAATTGATAACTTCTCTTCCTTGTTGGTCTTGTTGGTTTCCGATCCGTCACAGCTATAGTATTTACATTTTTTTCTTCAGCTAAATTGTTTACAGCTCTTTGCTTAATATCATTTTCATTAACGTCACCCGAGCGTTTTTCTATTGTTGAATTTTTGACTGCTAAATTTTCTTCATCTTTGTTTATTGTTTCTAACGTTAATTGTATTGAATCGTTTTCAAAATTTGTATTTTGTTCATTGTCCACAGAATTCATATTTCCTATTTCATCAGTAGCAACTATCTCTAAATTCTATTTAACGTCCTAGCGTTTTAATAGTAATGATAATAACGATAATAATGTTTTTAATTCACTTTATTTTTTTCACAAAAGACGCTTTTTTTTTTAAAAAAAAGAAACAAATTCGTTTTACCTAATTTTTTTATTAGAATATTAATAAAAGTCATATCATTTCATATATAGAACAAAAATATTAATTATGATCTTCGTCGAATTTAATATTTACTATATTTCAGATGATAACCCTTTATAGTTCTTTTACATAAGGGATCCGTGTATGGCATACGGTGTCATGTGGATATATATTAAATAGGAAATTAATGATGATGAATGAAAGTCTGATCAGCAAAAGGTATTAATACAGTACTAAAACGAACCAATATTAGTAGTTACGATGAAAATCAAAAGAATTTATTATTACTACGTTAATTCAAAAGTGATTTCAAGTCATTAAATATATTGCTTTACTAAAAAAAAAAAAAATCATTTAAAATATGTTTATGGTATAGCATAAAAGCGCATATCGTTCATAATTAAATTTTGATCAGTATGATAAATGTTCATATTGATTAAATTGGCTTCATGAGAGTTTGAAACAATATAACCGATAATGTTTCACAGCGAATTCTAACTTATTTTTTTTTTTATGGGATTATTAAAGCGAAGCAGATTAGAATTAGAGCTAGAAATAATTATTAAAACTACACCTTTGCCATTTTCTTTATATCTGAAAGTAGATTTAAACGCTTCTATATTTCTTTTTTGATTGGGCTGGAGCGGAGGGAAGCGGAGTGTAAGTCCTTTCCATGGTCTACTAATTATTAATACTGCAGCCGCGAGGGTAAATCATAAATTGTGCTATAAGCATTAAACTCAAAAAAGTAAATACAAATTTAATGGCTTTATCATTATTATTTCACTTATATGCTAAAGCATGCGCACTTTATTATTTTTTACCTTATTCGGCTTTGACTTTTAATTACATTAATTGTTCATTCATCGAGATCATTAATCAACTATGTATCGATCACGAACTTAATCGATAATTAAGGCTAATTATTTCTCTTTGATGTTATTGCTTTGTTTTGTAACCATTAATACCCATACCTTATTTAATTTAGATTAACGTTCCTTGCACTAAACTGCTGCATTTTGTCAATCAATAGATGATTCCGTTATAGACAAATGGTTAATAATATAGCTGTATGGAATTATTATTTTATCTCGGGATCGAGTTTTTCCATCAATGCTAACGAATTTGAATCATCAAGTATCAATTTCGAGAGTCACTTAAGATTAGGTATTGCAATGTTATCAATCATATTACCAATCATTCCCTTTATTCTAAAAGCAAATAAACTTGCGCTTTGATGTTTTTTAATAAACATTTACATGTTAATGGCATAAAAAAAAAATTGTATATAATAAAACTCTAAAACAGAGAGAATTGAATTCATAAAAAATATAATTAATGAAAATCTACCTTAAAATCAGTTTTGTCAAATTTTCGAATAATTGATCGGCTTAAGATTCACATTACGCATATAATAATAGACCAAGATTTCATTCATCATCAGTCGACATATTTTTTCAATTTCCGAACTCTGTCGTACTATTGTTGTAACAAATAAGTTATATGGTCTTTTGTCTTTTTTCATTAATAATTATAGACAATAACTCGTGTATTGTTGCTTTGGTAATATGTAAGATGTGAAGGAAATCAACAGTTTACATTTTTACTTTCACTAGGATCATTATTTTTTCCGGCTACTTTTTTTTCATTTTCAATAGTCATATTTCCAATGTAGTCTTATTTTCTCTTACAGTATATGTCATTAAGATGATCGGTGTAACGCTCGGCATTAATAGACAATTTTTGCGCAAATTTGATATACGCAACTGAAACGTAATAAATTAGGAGTTTTCACGTACTGTACGTACATTGTAACTATAGGTGGATAAAAATAAATGACTTGTGCAACTATCCACAGAAAGTTAACTAATTTTAATTTATTTATTCTCTTAGGGTAGGGTCGAATTAATATTTAATAAAAGGTTTGTATTACTAAATATTAGGGGAAAGCAGCATTTAACTTATTGTCTTTATTAAGAGAAGCAGACTACTAATTAATGCCAATACTATATTTTGCCGTTATTCAGGTATATATCACTATAAGCGACATTAAAAGTCTATTTGTTGTTTTAGAACCATTCCCACGGATTTCGGCCTTTCCCAGTGGATTTTGTCCTTCTCAGGTTCGAACCTTCTTTGATGATTAAGTACCATCATTTGAAACAACGGCAGATCCGATTTTCGACATCTCATAGTCGATTTACCCTTAATATAGACATATCACGTGCGTTTTATTAATTGTAATTATGAAAATCATTTTAAAATCAATTTAATCATTTTTAACAAAAATACTTTTATTATAAAGATCAATTAAAGTTCGTTAAAAAAAAAAAATTTTAAAAAAAATATAAAAAAATTTAAAAAAAATTTTTTTAAAGGATAATTGTTTTAAAGTGACAAAATAATTTTCAAACTTACAAACAATATAAATCAACCAATAATCAATGTGACTTGATAATGCTGCAATGACACGGAACATGTAGTATGTAAATGAATAATAATCTATACTTCATATATACTTCAAATCTTAATTTAATGTTAAATAACTGTGCTGAATAAGAAACCATAAAAATAAGAAGATAAATAATAGAAATTACTTATATAAATTTATAGTGGCACGGACAAATTACTGAATAACACATCTGCAATTGCACGACTACCAGCTACATTTGGATGCTTTTTATTAAAATTACACCAGAGAGTGTAATTGCACACTGTATCATCTGTAATGATATTTCTAAGATCCACTACTTTAAACCCATTCTCTATGTAAATACTAATTAATTTATCAGCTAACAAATCAACATCCGGAAATGAATTAAAATATGTAGTAGCCACATATTGTACACCTTTACCTCCTGCTTTCTTCAACAGTGGAATTATCGTATTGTTTAAATTATACGTTATTTTTTCAAGTTTACGTTGAAGGCATACAGAAATATTAGGCTTAAAAAATTTAGAACAGCCTGTAAAATCATTTTTTCCGATAGTAATTGTGACAAGTTTTGTTAATCCTTTATGAGATTTCATAAATTTTGTAGCTTTTACTAATTGATTAGAGATAAACTTTTTAGTGGTTATACCACCTTTTGAAAATTTTTTGATTTCAAGATTTGTATTGTACTTGAGTCGTTCATATAATGCGTCTGCATAAGAATAACTTCGAGGTAGTTTGTACTTAGGATCACCAACACCACGTGCAAACGAATCACCTAATGCAATATAATATATTTTATGTGCTTTTAATTCATGGTGTGGGTTTGGCTGTAATAATATAAATAAAATTATGCATTGTAGTGATAATATAAATAAAACTGAATTTTTTCTTGTCAACATCTTTATGAAATAAAATTTTTAAAGAAGTTTAATGTTAATGACCGAGTTAGTCCCTTATCATATATTAAATTTTTTTATAATATAACTCTTTAATGATTAGCATAATGTTCATACTTTTACCACATGCTGATTTTTGTAAAATCCTTTTTTGGTAGGATTCTATATGCAGTATCGGTATGACATACTGTAAATCATACGCATATTTCATATACTGATCTCTATTTTAAGAGGTTTGATTGGCTATACTAAAAGCATTACTTAGTGCCAATATAGTAATGAGGATCCATATTTCCACATATTGATTCATTTATACTCAAATGTATACATGATATATGGTATTTTCGTGCTTTAAGTTGCCAAATTGGGTAAAAATGTTACACCCTTGAAGTTGTAACTTCAAGCAGATCAATTTTTTGTCATAATCAATTAAAATTGATTATTTTAATTGGAGTGGCTGCGCGACATAGTCGCGCTGTAATATGCTTATTCATTTTGAATTCTGATTTAATATTATTGTGTATAGCAATATTACAAAATTTTTAGCATTAGTTTTGCCAAATAAAGTATTCGCAGATCTTTCAATCTCAAAACATACTTCTAATTTACTCTGAAATTTCAATGTCAACAACTTGAACATATTCAAGCATCTTTTCAGTGTATAGACATAAATTTTTTAATTAGTCAATAATCGAATAAATTGTCAAAGCGAGTCATACTTAGATTAATAGCAAATTCCGTTAAGGAAGCTGCTTAAGAGCCTCCCAAATAATAAACATTTTCATTTTCTTTCTCGAATAAATTTTTATCATCTCTAGTATAAATGTTTTAGTTTGTATACAAATTTAGAAGCCATGTCTTATAAAAGAACAGTAATAGTTTATTCTTCAAATAACCATATACAACTCACCCTCATTATAATGAAGTCATCATGCCGAGAAAAAAATCCTCATAGCTGAAGTTTAAGTACTCAAAATTCTTCAGAACCTGGAATCTTCATTATAACGAGAGTGCCCTATTCCGTATATATACAAGTGGAAACTTGTTTCGCTAACACCCAACAGCTTAAGATATTTTTGTTGCCAATGCACTTCGCTTCACCACGTTAACCATGTTCATCATGTTATAACTTACACTACGATTTTAAACTAGTAAAGATCCGATTTTGGGCGCATATCGATTAATTTCTGTAACTTGAGCTTGACTCTTTCACTTTCTACAGTGTCTAAATTATGATATATAGAAATATTTTTTAGTCATCATTCTAAATCATAAAAAAGACCAAAATCTTATGTGTACAAAAGATGCATGCGAGAAGAATGATGACTAATTCTAGTCGTAACATTTCTACTTTTACCTGTAAAAAATAAACATTGTATATTTACAACCAGAAGAAAACTTAACTTCGGTTTAATTATAAAACAAAATGGATTTTAAGACCAAGGTTTGGTGATTAATAGACTCTGGAGCACTCATACAGGGAGATCCCAAATTTTCGGGTTAACTTTGGAACCCTAGTCAGATGGGCCGGAATTGATTAATTTTGCTCAAGGGTACTAAAAATTTTACTAATAAAACCATAATCGTTCATTAAGTAAAAAGTGCCCAGCTGATAATTTTACAATAGCTCCTACTAACCAGTATAGATAACCCTAACCCTAACTATATCGGCGGATTTGCGGAATTTGGTAAATAGAAATTATTTGACTTCAAAGCTGGCCAAATGATCTGCAAATTTGACCAGAGTTATGGTTAATGGGGTTTTCTATTTATTAAATTCGCCGATATGCCCCGATACATTCTGACCCACATGCACATTAATGATGCCTGACGAATGACGAAATATTTCGTCATGACGAATGACGAAACCATTCGTCAGATAATTCCTGATCGACGAATTGACGATTGACGAAACCTATGACGAATTGACGAAACCTATGACGAAATGACGAAACCTATGACGAAATGACGAAACCTATGATGAAACCTGATGAGTTATATTCATACAAGATAGAGTTAATTACCGTGTTTATAAAAATTAAGAAGTGATTTAATATCGATAACGATAAGAGCTAAAAAAAAACCAATGTTATTCAGCTGATTTGAAAATTAAATTTCGGTAATTATTTTTCAGTAATAACAGTATAGTTTTTCGATAATATAATTTTCGGATATATTATCGCGGTATCGTTTGTTTTGATTTTCGGACTGATCCGGGATGTTTTCAAAAACAAAACAAATTCAGGTGAGACCGTCCCCAATATGGAAATAATGACCTGAGTCACCCGATTGTTACACAACTGATAAACAATTTTT